CGAATGAAAATGTGGCCTGGTGGTCCCTGAGCACTGGATTAGGAAAATTGCATTTATAATACCCCTTTCCTGTCTTTAACAGGGGCATACCAGTTGGTTGGAGGATGTGGAGTTTGTGAAGGTGCATTATGGTCTGTCAGCATGATCGGTATGATCTTGCGTGCTGATCTCCTGGGCCATCTTCTCCTTATGACTTGTTCAGACCTGTTCTCCGCTGTAGCCACACTGAAAGTTTTCTCAGACACTAACCCGAAACACTTCGGACAATTTTCCTTGGAGTGAACATTATTATGCTGGATTACATAAAATAAGTGTTGCCACACATACAGCACTTACACAGATTTTTTAATCTGGTGCGAAAAAGTGTGTTTTGGTGTGTGCTAAAACTATGTGTGAATGGTGTCTTTGTCATAAGTAAAAGCGATACATAGTCAGGCAACACCAGGAGCTGAAGGCCCTGCTGGCTGTGTGTGTGTGTCTGTGTGTGTGTGTGTGCTCTCATATTTGTGTGTGGGGGGCATATGCAGGCATTAAACAGTGTAATATAGCCCTCTAGACCAGCTGTTGGCTTGTGTAATAAGCATCCCTCCCCTGATAAAAGCCTTCCTCTCCTCTGATAAAAGGCTTCCCAGGTTCTGATTGGCTGAAAAGGGAAGCACTTGGGCAAAAACTTCACAGGAAATCGGGTCCAATACACATTATAGGATATGTCATCACTGCAACCAGTGAACAGCTTGTAAAACCCATGCACATCCAATTGCAACAAATTGCACTGACGCAATGTCAACCACATAAAGCTATGAATGAAGCCCTTAACTATAACTTTGATCCTTGCTACTGATATAAACTGCCATTTACCACATATGCTATGAGTTAGAGCAAATAGTGAGTGGTGTTTAACGGAATACTCCAGGGTTTATCAGCTACATCTGTATCATAGACGTGATTACCACAGACTTCCCAGAATATTTACACTTCTCTGAGAAAAGAACAGGAAGCTCACTTATAATGGAAGTCGAAGTGCAGTTGTAGAATTCCATCAATAGATATCTCAAATATGCAACTAGATAAGGCTACCACACAGCCACAACCCTTATAATCTATCAGTAAAGGTAAACGTAGATAATATGAACTATAGAAAATAATAAGTGTTCTACAAGAAAACTAAAGTTTATCGGCTGCCCCAACAACTTCAATTATAAGCGAGGATTGAGTAAACAGGTTGCTCATACTTTTTTCAGTGCTGGAAAATGTTTTGAAATTCCTATCTGTGGTGATTGCACATACACAACAGATGTGCTAGATTGCGATTATGTTCAAAACACGGGTTACAATAAATAAATAAATAAATAAAAAAACACTTACAATACAACATTGCAAAAGCCGTGCAGTGTCTAAACTATTCTCAGACAAAACAAAAATATAACACTGATTGGTTGGGATATTGGGATTGGGAGATTTCTCTACTATTTCCCACTAAAAGCTTCACAGACCCTCTAAGTGTGCAGATGATGCACTTTTTGCGCGCCTTTTTCCAGACACTGGGATACAGAATGTTTTTCACTTGTAGTAACTGTTTAAATCCCTTTGCAATCCCCAAAACAATCAATCATAGAATTTGAACACATTAACCTTTAAAAGCTATGGCCTTAAACTAAACTGTCCTCTCTCTTTATCCTTTCCTATCTAATGCTCTCTCCACTCATCGCCAGTAAAGGATGGACCAGGTGACCTGGACAAGGAAGGAAGAACAGACAAAGGTGGAAATGTGTCTTCCTTTGCACAGCTAAAATAACAAACTTTGGAGGGAAAAAGCTTACTGCCACTGTGGAGAGTTATCAATGCACTGCACGACATAAAAAAAAGGTTCTCTACATGCGTCATGGGTGGAGTGCATCTGGTTTGAATTTGATATCACAGTGCCAAAACATGCAGGGAAGACAACAGGCCTACTTTGCTGATCAGCTGGGCAAATGTTCAGGGTTAGCGAAGCAGGCCAAGAGCGGATTGTGTCCACAATGAGGAAAGGAAGACTAATATGGTCAAATCAGATCCTGCCACTTAGAGGTTATGTGACCCCTCTTCTCCTCCCTAAATAGCTGTTTCTCAGCTCTTCACTCAGAGGCCCACAGAGGCAAGAGTAAACATGGGCTCAGACTAACACCCCTTCCTGCTTCACTGCCTGGGCGTTGCAGTTTTCAGAAGGCCTACAAAAGGTCTCTTTCAGACAGCAAGCATTGCTCTGCTGCCTGAACTGTAGAGCCTTTCACTGGACAGTCCATCCCTGTAATCTTCTTAAAGGAGATACTGGCGTCTTCCAGTACGCCTTATGTGCATAAAAAGTGCAGGGTGTTCAGGTACTGAGTAAGTCCGTGAACAGGACTTTATTTGTGGTGTAGTTAAACAGACAGGTGTCTGCATTTTGTGTCCAGGTCTAATGCTTGACACTGAGCTGCTGGCGTTGTTAATGTTCAGTCAGCTCAGGCAACAGAAACGGTGGTACACTTTATCTCAGAAAAACATGTGATTATCCACATCGTGGCAGAGGGAAAATTGCATTCAGACAGAGGTAGTCGAGCACCCAGACAGAGAAACAGACAGACAGGCAGGCAGACAGACGAGCAACCAGACAGACAGAAGCATACACATGATAACACACACAACATTTACAGCAATCACGCACACACATTTGATATAATAATTAAAAATTAGCCTTCTAACATAGGAGAAATACTAACGGCATTAATATGTCGTATCGGTTGCTGTTCAGACAAGAGCTGAAGCAGGAGGTTGAATTAGATATATTAGTACCTAACTCTGTATTATGAGGTGGAAGGGTGATATCTTATACAGATTAAGGTGAAAGATGCAGTATTGGATTAGTTTAATTTTAAGGTTGGGGGGTTTGTGGCAAACTGTGATCGATAAAAAAATTATAAATGCAACAGGAGTGCAAAATAAGAATTTTTTAAACCTCTAAGAAAGGAATCAAAAAATTGTTTGTATAATTATAATTCTTTGTGAAGTTGTGTTTTGGTGATGTTATGGACAGTTTCATCCATAAGAAATTTTTTTAAAAAAAAAACTTTGAATGCATGACCTATTAAAAGTGCTTTACATTTTGTGGTGTACTAATTAATCAGTTTAATTCGAACACACTTACTAAATCTCCAAACCCTAAGGGTAATAAATCAGCAACTAGATGAAAGACAATGCCAAATGATTAAGCCAAAAACAAATTTAATAAAAAAAAAAGTAGTATAATGTTTTACGAGTGGAATCCTCCACCGTTCCTTAGATTTAACGAGATTGGGGAGAAAAATGTTATGCCCACTCTCGGAAAGTAAAGGAAGCAAACCCAACATTTCCTTCTCGCACGCCTTCAGTGGGACCCTCAAGAGGTCATGTTTTGTCCCAGTAGTATGTATATTTTCTCTGGAAACCATTCCAAACTATGAGGCCACACTGTTAATACAAATCAGGTGTATGCTTATTAACAGCACAGACCTGTTCATGCTCAAGTCACAACAGATCTGAGTTTGAAAGAACAACTATCTGTCCAAGATGCGCATGAAAGAGCTGAAATAGTGAATAAATAGTGAAACAAACAAACAAACAAACAAACAAAAAAAGGCCAGACGAAAACACATCCCACAATCCACAACTCTGTCCAAACTCTCAAGCAGGCAGCAGGAAAAATGTAGGCTATGGTATAGACTCTATAACAACTTGACTACTAGGATATATAATGATCATTCATAATCGGCACGTTTGTTCTGCCCTTGTGACGTCATTCTAACGAGACACCTGTGGAAACGTGTGCGCTCTTACGAACACTGCGTGACTTGTACACGCTGCAGTGACAGAACGAGAGTACACGTGAAAAGAACACCGCGGGTAAAGCATAACCTGTCGCTGGACTCGTGATGAACAGGGAGTGCTCCACTGTATGGTGCTGTCCCAAATCTACCAGAAGCACAGACTCACCGAATGTGTTCCTCCCCAGCGTGAGTGTAGACATGAAGACAGTGAGCCACCACAGCACGGAAAAGACAGCATACTCCATTAGAGATCTTTTCTCTGGCCGTGTCTCACATTCATGAAGTTCGAAGTGTCCCCGAGTTGGAAAGAAGTGGTGGCTGTGTGGATCTCAGCTCCTCTGCTCCAGCTGCGTGACTCCGGAGATGAACAGGCTCGCGCGTTCTCACTCACTGTGTGTGTGTGTGAGAGAGAAGTGTGTGTGTGAGAGAGAAGTGTGTGAGAGAGAAGTGTGTGTGTGTGAGAGAGAGAAGTGTGTGAGAGAGAAGTGTGTGTGTGTGTGTGTGTGTGTGTGTGTGAGAGAGAGAGAGAGAGAGAGAAGAGAGAGAAGTGTGAGAGTGAACTCTGAAGCTGCTTGACTCACAGGATTCTGCTCTCTTTGCTCTGAAACAGGAAATCTTTCAGCAAGGGCAGGACTTTTCCTCCTCCGACTCCCTCCCGCTGCAGAACGCGCTTCTTGCCCCGGTCTGTAATTATACGCTTTAAAGTCTAATTTAGGGTAAACAACAAAAAATGACACGTTGACAATATTACACACACAAGTTTTTTATTTTTTTATTTTTTAAATCATCATCATCATCATTATTATTATTATTATTGTGTGTGTGTGTGTGTGTGTGTGTGTGTGTGTGTGTGTGTTTCTCGATGAGAAGGTTAGGAGATAAAACATACTGCAATCGAACCCCTGCTCTTTATGGACTGTTTGATTTATTAATCCATCCATCTATCTTCTACCGCTTACTCCTTTTCAGGGTCACAGGGAACCTGGAGCCTATCCCAGGGAGCATCGGGGTACACCCTGGACAGGGTGACAGTCCATCGCAGGGCACAATCACATACACACTAACACACCCATTCATACACTATACATAATACAGACACTTTAGACACGCCTACCATGCATGTCTTTGGACTGGGGGAGGAAACCGGAGTACCCGGAGGAAACCCTAGCAGCACACACACGGCCCCAATGGGACTCGAACCCTGGACCCTGGAGGTGTGAGGTGAACATGCTAACCACTAAGCCACCATGCACCCTGATTTATTAATGTTAATTAATGTATTTTTTTTAAGCATGCATTATTAAAAATTTACGTGAAAGAAAATCTAATTATTATCATTACAGGAACACTTTTATTCCTGCCATTTGTTATGATGATTATAGGCTGCTATTTCTGAACTTACTTTAATTAAACAGTTGGATTTGAAAATGTTATTCGTTTTGCATTCTGTACTTGATGTACTTCTGTACTGTTAAAAAAACCAACTGGCTTTACACTGTGTGATATTGCAGACAGCCACAGTCGAAATATACATTTATAGATCCATACAGTTTTCATACTGCTTATCCTACACAGGGTTACAGTGCCTGGAGCCTGGAGTCTAGCCCAGGCGGGTGACAGCCTGGATAGTGTACCAACCCATCGCAGAGCACAGTCTCTCACACACACACACACACACACACACACACACACACACACACACACACACACACACACACACACACACACACACACACACAATTTAGAGATGCCAGTCAGTCTACAACACATGTTTTTGGATTGGGGAAGAAACTGGAATACCCCTGAAGCACGCAAACATGCAAACCTTACGCACAGGTGGTATTTGAACTCCGAGCCCCAGCGGTTCAAGGCAAATGTGCTAACCACTAAGCCACCGTACCCCGCTTCCTGACAAAAATCATATATCGTAAATGACTTTGTGTTCCCGAGTTGAGAACAGTGGTCTTATAATGCATATCTAATCAGCAGATGATTTATCGTCATTGTGACTAAAGACCACTGAAACCGAAGTTTTGACTAGAGCGGGTTTGATGTTGTGTAACTTCAGTGGTCTTGTAGGATTTTTACTTGTTGTACTGTGCCAAAAGATCCCAATAAAATCTTTTCAAAGTCTATGATAAGAACACGGTCTCCTCATAATCAAATGGATTCAAATCCATTTTATTATTACTCTTAGATTATGTGGCATGTCCACTGTATAAGTCTCTGTGTGTGAGCTGTTACTGTAGAAACAAGAATACATTAGAAAAAAGTGCATTCATATTAACCTATCATTAATGTTACAGCCAGAAGTACTGATACTGAAGTACTGAAGCTGTGGTGTTATACAGAAAATAATGCACCAGATTTGAGAATTCAACTGTACTGTGGTATAACTTCCTTTAATCTATGGTCAATCATTAGAGGATTTTCATTGTGTACTATTACATGGAGAACACATTATATCCACCGCTTTATCATTTTCAGGGTCATGGGGAAACCTGGAGCCTATCCCAGGGAGCATCGGGCACAAGGCGGGGTACACCCTGGACAGGGTACATGTTATATCTATCCCTCCATTTTATTTAAAGCTTATCCTACACACAATCGCACACTATGGACAATTTGGAACTACCAATCAGCATTCAGCACATGTCTTTGGACTGGGGGAGGAAACCACAGTACCCAGAGGAAATCCCCAAAGCATGGGGAGAACATGCCTGCGCTGTGCACACAGTGCGGAGGCAGAATTCAAACCCCCAACATCAGCGGTGCAAGGCAAATTAAAACTTAGTGCTAAACACTAAGTCACCGTGCCTCCACATTCTATAGCACACTTTGTTATACAATTCGGCGAATATTTTATTGAGATCATCCCAGACAGTATGACATGTAATCATTTTAAAAGGCTGCTGTAATTGCATAGTCTAAAACTCACAAAAGTCATACAGAATTGAGATAGAGAAGATAAAAAGAGAGGGTGTAAGAGAGTGAGGGAAAGTGGGTGAGAATGAGTGAGAGAGAGAGAGAGATAGAGAGCTTGTTATTGCACAGCAGACTATGATGCCACTTGTTCAAGACTGATAAGCCACAAAATTAGCAAGTGGATCAGCTTAATACAGCTAACATGGAAGTACAGTGGTTATTTTTGAACCTTATTTTATGGGGTGCATGTGTGTGAGAGAGGTATTGTGTCTTAACTCAGTACTGTCTTTCTCCCAGTTCTCCCTCTCTCTTTGTAGAAAGAGACACAATGTGAGGTTCTAGGACTAGTGCAGACAGACAGGCCTGAACATGCAGTCACCTGGCAATTTGCCACCTAGCCATCCTCAAACACACACACCCTATATCGCTGAACATGGAGAGGAAAGGAGAGAAGAGAGAGGAGTCATAGAGTCTGTCTCCTTCACTAAACACACAGCCATGAGCACCTGATGTAGAGACAGACAGAAATCACACATCAAAAGACGGCGCATATGGCTGTGTTCTGAGCCCGCAAGCCAAGACTGCAGAGATCTTGTGATGAGCGATTGCTGTTTGTGCATGCTCATGTTGAAACATTTTCTGGGCTTACATAACTGTACTGGGGTACGAACATATCAGCACAGCTTAGACGTCTTGTTGGTCTCCTCCTCCGTCTCTTCAAATACACTATTTATTTAAAATGAAGTCCAAGATTACCACACACCCTCACTCCCTCAATCACCTGGACTGGATTCACAACTACTCAACTCACTCTCACTTCAAATTACGCCAAGGGCAGATTTGAGTCATATTAATTTCATTATGGTAAAGAACACTTGCATAATGAGCAGCACAGGTTATGAAAGCTCTGATGAATATTTTCAAGAGCATCAGAGGGTTACTTCTTCATAGAATCAGGTTTTACTGAAAGCGAGAGAGAGCTAGTAAGAGAGACATAGAGAGAGAGATAGAGAGAGAGAGATAGCAAGAGAGAGAGAGAGAGAGACAGAGAGACAGACAGAGCTAGCAAGAGACAGAGAGAGCTAGCAAGAGAGAGAGAGAGAGAGAGAGCTAGTGAGAGAGAGAGAGAGCTAACAAGAGAGAGAGAGAGCTAGCAAGAGAGACAGCTAGCGAGAGAGAGAGCTAGTGAGATGGAGAGAGTTAGAGAGAGAGAGAGAGAGAGAGAGAGAGAGATCCTACTCTACAGCTCCCTGCACTGGGGCTACTTTTTAGCAAAGCAAAATTTGTCAAGTGAAAAGGCAACTGTACGAGAAAATTCAAACCTTTATATATTTCAAGACATTATTTAGCAAGAAGTTACATTTCCTATCCTTTAAAAAACAAACAAACAAAAAAACAACAACAACAACAACAACATTCCTTTCTACTCAAACTTAATGTTAAGAATGTAGACATGTCACTCTGGCAGTTGAGTTATTGATGATACAAACTGGTTTTATCATCTTCCATCAGATGCCCTTAGGTTGTTCTATACTATAATAAAAACCTGCTTAATATCACTTGATATACATATATCACAACAATACAAAGAAGGACATATCTAAACACATCAAATCCAACAAGCTAGTCAATATATGATGAGAAAGGCTAATATAGTATTCCTGTGGTTACACTATCCTTCTTTTGTATCAAAGCGTTCTCAGGAGTGCAAAGTTTGTTCAGGTCTATTCTTGGCACTTAGTGGCAGAGTGGAGGAGTTGGGTTTCTGTTGGCACGCTTTGGTTTGACAGAGGTGCTGTGTCTCACTCCTCCAGCGTCATATGAGCTGAGCCACTGTGGAAAGCAGTAGCAGGCAGGACATGCTTCATACATTCATGCCGCAGCTCAGAGCCATAAACCAGAGAGGAGGATCTTTGCTTTGCTGATAAAGTTTACATGTGTGTTAGTCCAACATATCTCAAGTGAACAAAACAGTAAGAACATTTCTGAAAGGTTTTAAAAACATTGTGTGACATAATAGTGTGAAATCTATTAAGGACAAAGATGCAAAAATAACACTTTCCGTATTTTTGGAAAAGCACTGTGGATATTTTTATATATATATATATATATATATATATATATATATATATATATATATATATATATATATATATATATATATATATATATATATATATATATATATATATATATATATATATAGTGTGGCACCGCAGTGACACTATCATCATAGTGGTTCTATGGCTGTGACGCAGGTATGAGTATATTAGGAACAGCAATGCTCCTGGAAATTTTAAACATCCCAGTGTTGCTGCTGAGTTTAGAGTGTTGACATGGGTGAGGTGGTTGGATATTGACCACTGATGAAAGACTAGAGGATGATGAACATACACTGTGCATGGAAAAGATGAGCCTCAGTCTTTGTGTATACATATGAGAAGGCCCACCAAGGTAGGCAGGTTGAATAAAGTGCCCAGTAATAATATACAGTGCTTAAAAATGACAGCAAAAGCTTCCGCACCTGCATTACACACACTATTAACACTATACACTCTTGTATAGTCTGATTTCAACACAAATTTGCTGAGTGTTATGTATCTGCTGATTGAAGACACAAGCATTACACAAGCAGCAGCTTTTCTGTCTCTGATGATATGTTCAAGCTTTATTTGCACTTATTGTAGTCCTGAGTTATATGTTGCACCACAGTCCTGCATAGCAAATCATCCTAATACACATGTAGGCTACAGCTTTTCTAAAGTGCAAATATGCACAAAACAGGCAGCCATATAGTTTAGTTTGCAGCTTAAGAGATAACGCTATTCTCATTTTACATTTGTCACCAATTGCTTCACTAAAATATTATCGTAGATTCACTGCATAGGTTAGGTTTCTAAAGAATATCCATGCATACGTATAATAATACTGCACCAAGAAACTACTTTGATCAGCGTGAAAGCAGTAGGAGCAGTGTAAGAGAAATGTAAATAAAAATGCCTCACAAAATCAAAACCATTAGATGATGGATGGTGGGAAGTGGAACATGTTTTATTGCGGGGCAAGTGGCTGGGGTACGGAGTTGAAGGCTGTGCAACAAAGACTGTAACCCTGTAAAGGAACTCATGGATGTCTATTAGACTGCTAACAGAAATGAGAACAGCTGCTCACTCATGGTCTGATGAGTAAAAAAAAATAAATGTCAGTGCCACACTACAAATCATATCAGTTACACAAACAGCACAGATTGCTAACACTGTTTGACTTATGAAGGCCATTAACAGACCATAATGCAGATCATGAATGCTATGCCTACACCTAAATCTAACC